CAGCTGATCTCATATGGTCTGTGGTTTTATATACAGGTTGGTTAGAACATTTCCTTACCTTGTGGCTCACTTGCGATACTTAGTTGTAAAAAACGCTACGACCTGAATTACAGTAAGGAAGGATCACAAAACAAAATACTACAGATAATTACACAATAGTATAGTATTCGTGCTGACTCCTGATTTAGAGGAATGATGTTAGAGTTTTTTTTGTAATAGCATAATACAGCTCCACCAAGCAAACAAGTCCCTCGGAAAATATGCAAACTAATTTAGAAATTTCGTGGCGGGAAAACGTTAAGCCAATACCAACAACGCAGGCGTGTACAGTCCGTAAAAAATGTGACAGTGACACATTTATATATTAAATGTTTATAAAATGCGCTTGTTGCACCAAGTTTATCCGTACGGCAAGAAAAGAGAAGCAAACCTCTGCAATTGTGCATTCCGAAGCCAGAAATGTCATTAAAAGGGTCGTGGAATTCTTTGGCAAAGAGAAAGCTGCCGGTGTGTACATATTTCCTTTGGGAAAGGGAGCATAACTAGCTGCTGCTGCGACCGGCAAACCAACAAAATTCATAACCCAGATTAGGTAATGTGCATTTCATTAATATTCCTCTGAAATAAATACATATTGTTATCCTGTAGATCGAAGTCAAACTTGCCGATGATATAGGACATGGAAATTTTCATCAAAGAAGCAAGGAAGTGCAACTTCCTACAAAATAACATTGGATAATTCTGATTTACGCGTCTTGAAGAATGAAATTTACATGATCCATAACAAAGTCTCTACAATCAATAATTTAGTTAATAAAATGAAGAAGAAGATTGGCTGCATTGAAAGTAAAGATCACATTTTTTGACGAAACCTACATCCATCCATTTTATGGAGTGCTTGCTAACAAAATATGAACCTGGTGTATATAAAACTGACTGAAGCAGGATGAAATCAATTGAAATGAATTGAAAATGCACATCTCATCATCAATTCGAAAAGTATAAGTCTGGATACGACATAATCCACATTAAGAGATTGGAAGAATAAATGTGGCAACGCCATGGATTGTTAGATGAAGCTGTAGAAAGTTTATCTTTCACGGTAATCACTGGCACGTCAGGCGAAGGTTCTAAAATCAGTGAAGAGGAAAGTGAGGGATGATACTGTTTAATTAGTTTTAAATACACACTGCTTTGTCATTAGTAGTACTTAGGTAAATTTTGTTATTTTGGGTTGTAATTATTGTACTAAATTTCTTTCTCCAGTTTTCAAACGTAGCTGCATTAAAAAAATGACAAAATAGAACAAGTTTAAATTTCCCGCCAAACACTATTGACACAGACTGTACTTCTAAAATACAGCGACACCAAACAATCGCCTTCTTGACGGACTTGTTTGCTTGGCTTGACTGTATATGGCATTGCATTTATAAACGACAAAGAGTAACAGTATTCTTTGGTAATAAGTAACCTACAACATGAGGTATTAAATTGTCAAAACTTATGAGGCTGTCTGAAACTCTACTCAGAAATTTTACCAAGAAATAAATGAAATATCGAGTTAATTAATGAAAATGCTGTCTGTATTGCTCGAAATATATGCCTCCACCATTATAATCAATGCTTGCACGCCGTGAAACATTTCCAATGTGTGTGTTAGATCTGGATGGCGGTTTTTTCAAGGGGGTGACAGTTTAAGGGATAAAATGTCACATTTGATACAAATTAATAATTTAACAGGTATTATCGTATTCTACATGCTACATCAATGCCATTGATTTAAAAAAATTACTTCGTAGATGTAAAAAAAGCTTGACTTTATCACAAGAATTGCAGTTTTTGATATCTCACAAGCAACAATCAGATTATAATATACAGTAGAAGGCAGACGTGAATTAAATTGTAAAATTTGTCCCGCGTGATAATCATTTGGTCGTGCCGCACTTTTTTACAATTTTATGTAAAGCTGATTATGATATTGTTCGTCAGACAGACAAATAACGCACCCACAATAGGGCCCTTCTATGTTTTTTAAAATGGGCTAAAGAATTTTTTGAAATTTTTATTTAAGTATCATTTCGAGATCATGGTAATATTATACAAAACTTTCCTTAATGAAGTAGTAGAGTAAACCTGACATTGACGGTAACGAGATCTACGTTTTGATAACCATCACAATTATTATTATCATATAACCCACACTTCTGATACCGAGTTACAGAGCTGGGAAGTAACTAAAATTTAAGTTACTTTCAAGTAACTAAGTTACTGTAACTTAGTTACTTTTGAAATAACACTAAAAGTAACTTGTAACTTAGTTACTTTCTAAAAGTAACTTATAACTTTTCCAATTTCAGAGGAACTTAGTTACTTATAAAGTAACTAAGTTACTTTCTGGTAACTAAGTTACCTAAAAAGAACTTAGTTACCTACCGAAAAGTTACTTTTTATTTATTATAAAATTATTCCTCAAAATACCTTGTAGATCTCACAAGCGTTTAAATAATGTCAATAAGAAAAAATAGTCCTACTTATAATTTAATATTGAGGAGATGATAAAAGGTAGCAGCGGTAAAGTGCAATTTTTTATCTCTTTGATATATTATGTTAGGAGTAAATGTAGTAAGATGTTCGAATGCGACCTACATTGATATTATAACTATCAGGAAGCGCGGTATCCCCTTAACAGTTTGTGACCATGTGCCAACTGCCCGCCGCTAGGAGCAGTTCGAGTCGTTTGAAAGTCCGTGGCGATCGAAAGTGAGCGTTAACATGTGAACCATTAAGATGGCAGCAATTACAAACCAGTTTATGTTTGACCAATGTCGAATATTTTCCATTCGTGTAAATCGTCAGATGTCAGGAAACTGCCGGCAGTGTTTTTTGTGTATCGATTGGACATGGCTTTTATAAAGTAGGGATTGGAATGTTTCTTAAAAAATAGATCCCTTAAGAAGCATTGCGTAAATTTGTAATGTAAATAATAATACATTTAGACGAACGAAGCTTGCAGTCCTTGTCCTTGAATGAATGCAATTTCATACATTCTATTCACAGGCAGTAAAATAGGCAGGTTCCACATTTTTACTGAAAGCGGGAGATTTTGTTATTAAAAAACGATCAAAAAAAATTTTAAGGCAAAATATTGTCCGTTGCAAGCAGGCAGCTACATCATTTCCACATTCACATTTGATAACTAAATTTCGCGAATCAGCTTTTTTTATAACCATGCAGCATTGTGCACAAATAAATCAGTCCCAGTTTACGTGAATTCGTATACCTACTAGAGCTGAGCGA